CTAGGGAAGGTCTAAGCACTCTGCTGTTCAGTGAGGCCTGAGCCTAGAAAGTTTGCGATTGTGCTGGTGGAAAGCCTGGAAGGGTAATTGAAGCCCGCTTGTGCAGTGTGGTCCTGCTGCCATATGAGATTCAAGATACAAGGAGTCTTGCAGATGATTGGAAGTCGGGGGCAGAAGTGATGCCCGAAATAGAGTACCAGACATGACTGTGCTGGATTACTGAGGCTACTGCTACTAAAAATGCATCTGCTTTTGAGATTTGAACCACTGAGGAGCTTGTGGCACCACTTGAGGCTGTATGTAAATGATAATCACCCTGTCAGCAGAGAAAGAAAGAGGGAGCAGCGTCCCAAGTTACTCCAGAGACTTGGTGTAGTATGTAGGGGTGAATGCTGCTCAAACCAATCCCCAGGAGTCAGAAAACAACATGTGCGTTATAGATGGCCTTAGCCATCTGTGACCATCTGTGCTGGAGCGACGGCTGAGGCCATCTATCACACAAACGTTGTTTTCTGACTCCTGGGGATCGGTTTGAGCGGCATTCAGACCTACATGCTTTTGGGATTTGTTTACTATCAACAACAAAAACAATAAACATAGCAGGTATTTTTTTAACCAATTCCTACTGCTTAGTAACAGTACTTAAGTAATACAACCTGGTCATCCCCTGCAATGAGGCTATGATTGGACAGTGAGGAAGACTGATCAGTCATTAGTCTCCTTTCTCTTCCTCATCAACATGCTCCATACTAAGACATTTACATGTGTAAGATGTCCAAAATCTGTAGCTAGTGGCTGTGTACTGGGCACACAAGACAGCATGTCACCCTCTCACATATAATAAACGAATGTTGTAATAAAAGAGACACTTAAATCCATATGTCAGAAATTCAGTTCAGATTACCCTTTGATTACACTCCCAGGGTCACTTTCACTAGTGCGTCCCAGTCATGGACAAGACATTTACCAGTTAACATAATTATTTATTATGTTCTAATTACTAGTGCCTCTCCAGATCTGCATTACAGCATTTCTTTCATACTTATGTTACCAGGAGGCAGGCTATCCCGCTGCTCCCATATTTTTCTCTATTTTGCAAGCCTTCACTTACTTGCCTCTGACAAGGGCCTTCTTGAGGCAGGAAAATCATTCTTTTAATTTCCATAGCCACTATCATCAATACCCTGGCCCTCCTTAAATATATATTATCAGTCTCTCTACACACTTGCTTCTTCCATTATCCCCTTGTGCAACCAGTACCTGTCCCATCTTGTAACTCTAGGATCTTTTGACGGTGCTGTTGATATGCCATAAATGTCCACTTGACAGACCATGTGCACTAAAGCTATCTTTACTTAAGCCAGAAAATATCATCACCCAAAGAGTTCATACGGTATATATCTACCTTCATCCCTTCTCCCTTTCTCTCTCTGTGAGTGTGTCAAGGAAGGAGAACTTTCTGGGTCCACATTTCTCAAAACTCAGGTTGCACCACCAGAGTGCTATCTTTAATACTGGTCCTCTGTTCAGGAGTAAGGTGAAAGGCTCCCTGGCAGAGTACAAGAAACCATGAAGGGCCTCCTTGACCCCCAGCCAAGGCGCTTCCTTCCGAGCCCCAAGGTGAAACACCAAGGCCCAGTTGCAAGTGCAACCTTTGCAATCGAGGTAGTTCTGCCACTGGTGTCAGTAGTTTTTTATTTTTTATTATTTTTTTACCAATCACTGACTCTGTATATTCAGACAAGAAAGGGGTCAGTAAATTATATATTTACCAATCACCTTCCTAGCTCTTCATCCTGACACATCCCCTACAGCAACCAGTGAGAGAGGGGAGGGGGAAGTTGGCAGAGTTGTAGGGAACAAGGGGGGTCAGGAGAAAGCACACGGAGCCAGAAGAAAGCACAGGGACCTGGGGGGTGGCAGAAAGAAACTGGACAGGAGGAGAGGCAGGGGAGGTGTATAGAAGAACAGATTCCCTCCATTTTCCTCCTGAATGCCTGTGGGAGGCAGAGGAGGAGAAGAAGACATTCAGTGGCTTCAGGAGGAAAATGGAGGGGATTGGTTCCTTCATATTATGCCCCCCCCCCCACTGCCTCTCTTATGTACATGGGAGCCGCATGGGCCCTCTGGAGAATGGGGTTTTTTTGCAAATGCAACCCCTAAGCCCCTCCCTGGGGAACACAGCAAACACCATCATGCTACCCCAGCATAAAGGCTGCCTATATTCTTCTACATTAAGTGGAACATTTCATAGAGACCAGTCTCTATAAATGGCCACTAACATTTATACACATTTGGGCTTATTTAAAAATGAACAGAAACAGTGGTGTTTAAAGTGTCATCATCTATTGCAACCAGTCATAATCTCTTCAGAAAATCTTTTTTGACTGTGATTTGCTTTATTGCACTGACTTGCTGAATAAGTGAAGCTGACTTTTTAATTTATCAGACAAAAAGCTAGAAATCATAAACTACCCTGGTAAGAGGAACAGTAACAGTTGTATAAATTCTCTTTTACTATTGGTTATGTCTTTACCTACATATTTATGCCACTGATAAACTGATTGAATCGTCTATTATTCTGTCTTCTATTGAAGATTTGTGTAAGTACAGTAACACAGCTGAGCTTTGTAAATTCATTGAAATAATTGTTATACATTAACTAAAGCACTATCAGCAGTGAAGCATCGGATTTCCAGCAAAGACTATGAAATATTAAGAAGATAAAAAAAAAATCTTTTACAAGTAGATTAACTGTCTGCCTATGAATGGATACATTTAGATAGGACATTCTCAAGGTTGAACATGATAATGGGTTATTAACCCATTACAGAAAAAAACTTTATTTCAAGATATCCTTATTGTATGGCCTTATCAGAGTACAGAAGGTAAAGAACTGTCACATTATGGTATTATTACAGTTTTTAATACTATAGAAGTAATGCACGTCACAACCCGTGCATCTCACCCAAAGTACAATAAAATTTAAGGCAGTAATTGCATGTAACAAATCTGACAGGCTGGTTGCACTGAAGTCAATCATTGGATCGACTTCAGTACAACCAGCCTGCCCATAGATAAATTGACCCTCGACCGGTCCCTGCTGTACCAGCCAAGATTTGATCCATCTATGGCCTGCTTTACTCAATCTTTTCTAGCTAAAGCTCATATTCTTACACGTTTTCTACCTAGGCTAATCTATTTTTTTATGATATCTTTGGAGAAGTCTGCTGCCCTCTACTGTCTGCATTTAAAATAGATGTGCTGCTTATCAGATAATTGAAGAGGTTGAAAACCCTCCCTGGAAAGGTAAATGGGAAGAGAGTTTTTTTTTTGAGACCACATGTCCACATGAAAGAGCTTCTGCTGAATCCAGACTAGGAGCAGTGATTATTAGGCAAGTGTTCTTACTGTACATTTAATAGTTTACTATTGTTGCCCAAAACACGAAGCCACGCCCACACACTGCCATACAACCTCAGATTGACATAATCTCCACCTGCACTGTCTGTGCGATCCAAGCTTGTTTTGGATGTTTCCGGATCCCTTGCCAGCATCTTTGGCTCCAAACACAGAGCAAGGGGCTGCATTTCTTCAGTGGGGATCTATAGGACCAGGATGTCTGTGATGTTTTACATTGATAAGTGATTTGTTTTCTTCACTATGTGAGCAGCTAATTGTTTGCTGAAAAAAAGGTTGTGATACTACACTCAAATGGCGCTTGCCCCTTTTCTCCTTTATTTTCAAACTCACAGAGATTGCTTCTAGCGCTCGGGCCCAGCAGCCTTGAGTGTTACGGACACTTTCAACCATACTTTATAATGACTTACTTACTTGGGATTTCTTAGATTTCACTAGGTGGTGTTTTGATCCCTTATGCGCCATATATTCCCTGTTGTATTATAGATCTTGGTGCTCTTAAAGTCCCATTGGAGATATTTTGAAAGTAAAAATTGCATCAACTTAGGTTAGAGCCATGCTAAGCATCCAAAAGCCACTTGGTAGTTAGAGATCCAGATACAAGCTACTAGGGACTTTAAGAAAACAGAGTAGATTGGCTAACTCTGAGTCCCAGTGCCACACCGCAATTTCTGTTGGTAAAAAGCTTGTATTCCATGCTGGTTGGACAACAGTTGGAAGATATTCCCATCATTGCTGATCAGCAACAAGACAGACACCACATCAAGATCATCCTCAGGAGCCCCTGCAACTGAACTTTGTTGCAACATACATCTGGAGGTATCTTTATTTATACTACACTATATGCTAAAAGTATTGGGACACCTGCCTTTACATGCACGTGAACTTTAATGGCATCCCAGTCTTAGTCCGTAGGGTTCAATATTGAGTTGGCCCACCCTTTGGAGCTATAACAGCTTCAATTCTTTTGGGAGGGCTATTCACAAGGTTTAGGAGTGTGTCTATGGGAATGTTTGACAATTTTTCAAGAAGAGCATTTGTCTGGTATCAGGCAAGATGGCCTAGCTTGCAGTCTCCGCTCTAATTCATCCCAGAGGTGTTCTGTCAGGTTGAGGTCAGGACTCTGTGCAGGCCAGTCAAGTTCCTCCACCCCAAACTCACTCATCCATGTCTTTATGGACCTTGCTTTGTGCACTGGTGAGCAATCATGTTGGAACAGGAAGGGCCATTCCCAAACTGTTCCCACAAAGTTGGGAGCATTAAATTGTCCAAAATATCTTGCTATGCTGACGCCTTAAGAGTTCCCTTCACTGGAATTAAGGAGCCAAGCCCAACCCCTGAAAAACAACCCCACACCATAATCCCCCTCCACCAAACTTTACACTTGGCACAATGCAGTCAGACAAGTGCCGTTCCCCTGGCAACCGCCAAACCCAGACACATCCATTGGATTGCCAGAGAAATATGATTTGTCACTCCAGAGAACATGTTTTCACTGCTTCAGAGTACAGTGCTTTAAACAACTGCATCCAACTCTTTGCATTGCACTTGGTGATGTAAAGTTTGGATGCAGCTGCTCGGCCATGGAAACCCATTCCATGAAGCTCTCTATGCACTGTTGTTGTGCTAATTCGAAGTCCACATGACGTTTGGAGGTCTTTAGCTATTGACTCTGCAGACAGTTGCCAACTTCTGCGCACTGCAGCATGTGCTGACCCCGTTCTGTCATTTTACGTTGCCTACCACTTCGTGGCTGAGTTGCTGTTATTCTCAGTTGCTTCCACTTTGTTACAATACCACTAACAGTTGACTGTGGAATATTTAGTAGCAAGGAAATTTCATGAATGGACTTATTGCACAGGTGGCAACCTATCACGGTACCCATGCTTAAATTCACTGAGCTCCTGAGAGCGACCTATTTGTTCACAAATGTTTCTAGAAGCAGTCTGCATGCCTAGGTGCTTGATTGTTTACACCTGTGGCCATGGAGGTGTTTGGAACACCTAAATCCAATGATTTGGAGGGGTGTCCTAATACTTTTAGCAATATAGTGTATATATACCCAGGTATATGTAACAAAAGGCAAAAAAGGTTCCCCAGCCTAGTGCATTGGCAAAATTAAAGTAGTAAACAATTATACTAACAAACACAGATGAGTGTTAGGCTCATAGCATAAAACAGAAGGAAACTTCAACCAAAGCCTCAGCCTCTGGCCCTGAATGACACCCAAAAATGTGCAGCAAATGCTGATGCATTTTGATACATTTTTCCATACTCTTTAAGAACTGACAATTCACTGTTCTTAAAAGGTCACAGGGGCATTGTCAGTCTATTCAGTAAAGGGCTAAATGAGTATGTATGCTTATTTTCCCATGATATATTTTTTCAGTAAAACTCGATTCACTTAAACATTGCTATTCCAATAATGTCATCAGAATGTTTTTTATAGTCCCACACTGATGCATTTTATACAGAATCTTATTGTTTCTTCAGCAGTCAGACAATACCTGCCTTATAACTGAGACATTTTTTTGGTACACTGGACACGTAGTTGTATGAAGATGAAATGATTGCAGCCTAAGTTGTGGTTGTAAAACTAACCAAACTACAAACCACTATGAACAGGATTGTAAAGTTAGTCTCCCTTCTGAAAGTTACTGTCAGGTGGTCATCTAGCCATCAGGAGCCAGGTGACAGTTATGCGGATCTCGTAAGTGTGGAAATCCTTAGGATGTTCCTTTTGTAATATAGATCTTGGTGCCCTTAAAGTCCCATTGACAACATTTTGAAAGTAGAAACTGCATCAGCATAGGTTAGAGCCATGTTAAGCATCCAACAGCCACTTGGTAGCTAGAGATCCTGTTACATGACAGATTAGAAGCTACCTTAAGGACACAGAGTAAATAGTCTTTATAGTCCTGCACTCATGCATGCTATACAGCATCTTATTGTTTCTTCTGCAGTCAGACTTTACCAGCCTCTAACTAGGATAGTGTTTCAGTACACTGGACAACTAGTTGTATGGTTACTCTCCTTTCTGAATGTTACTGCCAGGTGGTCATCCAGCCATCATGAGCCAGGTGAGTGTTGTGTGGAACTCATAGGTGTGGAAATCCTCAGGATGTTCAGTTAGCCAGTGGCTTCAAGCCCTGTGCGATAACTGGGGTTTTTAATTATTATTGGAATTAATTAAATAGAAAAATAAATATTCATGTTAAAGTAAACCCACAGGGAAAACACATTTTTTAAACAAGCAGCAGAACATCATAGTTTATAGTGTCATCCTAAAATACTGATCTTCATGCCAGTCATTCCAGCACTGTTTGAACATCCTGTCACTTTTCCAGTACCAGGCAATGAACAAATTGTCCTACCCTCCTCCCGCAATCTAATACTCAAAGCACAAGTGAGTTAACAGCGCGCCTTTTTCCCAACCCAGCTTCTCTTCAAGTTCTATGTTGTTCAGAATACATACCATCTTTTAAGTATTTACTGGAACCTTTCTTGATCAACTAATAATTGAAGACATTTTATGTTGCCGTGAGTTGTTTTTCAAATCATCTAGCTGGATTAGTTTTAAGTGTTGACAATTAAAACAAGAGTTGTCTGTGAAATAGTTTGTTTATTGGGGGTTTAAAATCTGTAACAACAATTGTAACAACTGTTGCAACAATTTTACTATTGGAATGGTTGGTATAACTACCCTCCCTAAAAAAGAATAAATCGTATTTTTCCTTATTAGAGTCATGATTAACTCCACACAAATGCTCAAACAATTGCCACTGATACATATAAACATATTAAGGATAGTGGAAACAGGACAGCAAAGTGCTGTATATAAAATACCATATTTTTCAATCCATAAGATGCACCTAGGTTTTAGAGGAGGAAAAAAAAGAAAAAAATTATTTTAAACCAATGGACTGCAGACATAGTACAGGAGATGACCAGAGACTGTGGATGTACTACAGGAGATGAACAGAGACTGTGGACATAGTACAGGAGATGACCAGAGACTGCAAACATAGTACAGGAGATGACCAGAGACTGCAGACATAGTACAGGAGATGACCAGAGACTGCAAACATACTGCAGGAGATTACCAGAGACTGCAAACATAGTACAGGAGATGACCAGAGACTGCAGACATGGTACAGGAGATGACCAGAGACTGTGGATGTACTACAGGAGATGAACAGAGACTGTGGACATAGTACAGGAGATGACCAGAGACTGCAAACATAGTACAGGAGATGACAAGAGACTGCAGACATAGTACAGGAGATGACCAGAGACTGTGGACATACTACAGGAGATGACCAGAGACTGCGGACGCAGTACAGGAGATGACCAGAGACTGGGGACACAGTACAGGAGATGACCAGAGACTGCGGACACAGTACAGGAGATGACCAGAGACTGTGGACACAGTACAGGAGATGACCAGAGACTGCGGACATACTACAAGAGATGACTAGAGACTGCGGACATACTACAGGAGATGACCAGAGACTGCAGACATAGTACAGGAGATGACCAGAGACTGCAGACACAGTACAGGAGATCACCAGAGACTGCGGACATAGTACAGGAGATGACCAGAGACTGCGGACATACTACAGGAGATGACCAGAGACGGCAGACATAGCACAGGAAATGACCAGAGACTGTGGCCGTACTACAGGAGATGACCAGAGACTGCGGACATACTATAGGAGATGACCAGAGACTTCAGACATACTACAGGAGATGACCAGAGACTGCGGACATAGTACAGGAGATGACCAGAGACTGCGGACACAGTACAGGAGATGACCAGAGACTGCGGACATAGTACAGGAGATGACCAGAGACTGCGGACATACTACAGGAGATGACCAGAGACTGCAGACATAGTACAGGACATGGCCAGAGATTGCAGACATGCAGTCAGGTCCATAAATATTGGGACATCGACACAATTCTAACATTTTTGACTCTATACACCACCACAATGGATTTGAAATGAAACAAACAAGATGTGCTTTAACTGCAGACTGTCAGCTTTAATTTGAGGGTATTTACATCCAAATCAGGTGAACGGTGTAGGAATTACAACAGTTTGCATATGTGCCTCCCACTTGTTAAGGGACCAAAAGTAATAGGACAATTGGCTTCTCAGCTGTTCCATGGCCAGGTGTGTGTTATTCCCTCATTATCCCAATTACAATGAGCAGATAAAAGGTCCAGAGTTCATTTCAAGTGTGCTATTGCATTTGCAATCTGTTGCTGTCAACTCTCAAGATGAGATCCAAAGAGCTGTCACTATCAGTGAAGCAAGCCATCATTAGGCTGAAAAAACAAAACAAACCCATCAGAAAGATAGCAAAAACATTAGGTGTGGCCAAACAACTGTTTGGAACATTCTTAAAAAGAAGGAACGCACCGGTGAGCTCAGCAAGACCAAAAGACCCGGAAGACCACGGAAACAACTGTGGTGGATGATTGAAGAATTCTTTCCCTGGTGAAGAAAACACCCTTCACAACAGTTGGCCACATCAAGAACACTCTCCAGGAGGTAGGTGTTTGTGTGTCAAAGTCAACAATCAAGAGAAGACTTCACCAGAGTGAATACAGAGGGTTCACCACAAGATGGAAACCATTGGTGAGCCTCAAAAACAGGAAGGCCAGATTAGAGTTTGCCAAACGACCTCTAAAAAAAGCCTTCACAGTTCTGGAACAACATCCTATGGACAGATGAGACAAAGATCAACTTGTACCAGAGTGATGGGAAGAGAAGAGTATGGAGAAGGAAAGGAACTGCTCATGATCCTAAGCATACCACCTCATCAGTGAAGCATGGTGGTGGTAGTGTCATGGCGTAGGCATGTATGGCTGCCAATGGAACTGGTTCTCTTGTATTTATTGATGATGTGACTGCTGACAAAAGCAGCAGGATGAATTCTGAAGTGTTTGGGGCAATATTATCTGCTCATATTCAGCCAAATGCTTCAGAACTCATTGGATGCCGCTTCACAGTACAGATGGACAATGACCCAAAGCATACTGCAAAAGCAACCAAAGAGTTTTTTAAGGGAAAGAAGTAGAATGTTATGCAATGGCCAAGTCAATCACCTGACCTGAATCCGATTGAGCATGCATGTCACTTGCTGAAGACAAAACTGAGGGGAAAATGCACCAAGAACAAGCAAGAACTGAAGACAGTTGCAGTAGAGGCCTGGCAGAGCATCACCAGGGATGAAACCCAGCATCTGGAGATGTATATTTGGATTCTCCCGGTCTATTTGAGGGCAGCAAGGTGTGCATGTTCCAGGACATTCCTAATGTGGTTGTAGCCTGCATCGAGTCCATCCCCAAGCGCTGGAGCATTTGTGTTTGCTGGTTCTTAGTATATCAAGCATGCTTTACTGCATATACAGACTGATTTTACTGTTGTGGGTTTAGTACCACTTTAACACAAGGATGAATAAAGGAAACCAATAATGATTATGAGGCAAGTCCTCGAAACGCGTCAGCCTATTGGATGTCTACACTCCCTATTGCGGACTGTTATTCAGCGTGGTGTTGACCCAGCTGTTCTTTATGATGTGCCTTGACTATATTGTCGTTTGTGAGTACAATGCCTACTTTATTATTTTTTTTATTAAACATTTTTCATGGTAATGCACTAGGCCTGTGCGCCCTCTGTTTTTTCTTTCCTCATGCTTGATATACTCACTGTGGAACATAAGGGGTTAATTCTCTGCATTGTTTAAAAAGGCTGTTTGATCCTTACTTCTCTGATCCCCCCTTCTTCCAGTGTCCCCCCCTTACCTCCTGATAATGTTACCCAGTAGGTGCTATTTCACACTCACATTGGAATGAAGTGCTCTCTGAAGAGGTGGTGAGGAGGCGTTATATTGCCCCTCACTGCCTGATTTATCTCTGTCATGTCATACTATTACACCACAATCACGTGCATTGCATACAGTTGGGGCACAACCCCACTAACTCAATGGGCAAGTGTGAAAAGTAGTGCCACTTATAAACTTTGCACCCTGGGTTAAAGATGCCACAGCCACTAAGGAAGGCATTGCAGCTACCTAGATGTGCACATCCCTGTCTGGCTGTTATTTTACAGTTCAGGTGGATGGCTGAGGGGCAGTAAAATGGTGACTCAACTGCCCGTTTTTACAGATCCCCGACCAAGTGATAGAAGGAGACCTAAGTCTCATATGCAGGTGGATTTAATTCAGTTCTGTATATGTTTCAGTAATGCATTCCCCATGCATATGGTTGAACTGGATGGACTTTTGTCTTTTTTCATCCAGGCTATGTAACTATGTCAGTGATGTCACAAGGGGTGGGGTCTCCTGGATGACCCCTGCCCCTTAGTTTTTTAGGAGCTGTCAGACAGATGGTGGGAGCCTTCCTCGGGAAACTGGAGGTTTTTTTGGTCTTTTTTTCGGGTCTTGTCAAAAACTTGTGTTGTGTTTTTATTTACTTTTTACAATTTCTTAGTGAATGAGTAGGGGTACTATTTACCTCATAATCATTCACATGGGGGGGGGGATCTGGGGGCCAATTGTTAAAGGGGGCTTCCAGATTCCAATAAGCCCCCCGCCTGAAGACCCCCACAACCACCAGCCAAGGGAGACAAGGTGCTTTGGGGGATCCCCCTGCCCCAAAGCACCCCCCCATGTTGATGGCGTGTAGCCTGGTATGGTTCCCCTTTCCTGACCTGTCAGGCTGCATGCTCGGATAAGGGTCTGGCATGGATTTTGGGGGGCACCCCATGCAATTTAAAGACAAAATTTGGCCTGGGGTTCCCGTTAAAACCCATACCAGACCTAAAGGGCCTGGAATGGATTGGGGGGGACCACCACACTGTTTTCACATTTTTGTATTACTGGCAATGTTTTTTTTTACATTCAGCTGTCAGTTGATGATCCCACTGATAGCTGATGACTCATCTGTTGTTAAAGCCGAGTTCCAGTCCCCATACATTTTTTTTTAAAACAGCTCCCCCGTAATTATTCCAACCTGCAGTTAAATATGAGATTACTGTCATGAATTAAATTATGCTCGTTATATGTGAATAATCAAAATTTTCTTACATGAATTTTGGAAGCAGGCAGCTGAAACCTGCTACTGGACACTTCCTGGATTAGGTGCTGCTGGCTATCCCAGCATGTACCTGTCAATCTCACGCATGAGCAGTAAGGACACTGCACAGTGCAAGTTATTTAGAACAGGTTACCATAACAATGGCAACGATGGCGGAAGTTCACGTCCCATTGTTATTGCAACCTGTCAATCAAAATACAAACCTGGGAAGGCAAGTGCGGTCGGCAAAAGGAGAAAGCTTGTTTCCACCTGGAATTGTGTCATTTCCGGTTTGGAAATAATGCAATGCTAGAAGCAGGGGATGCTTGTTGATTCCTGGGATTGATGACTCATCAATCCCAGGTAATAATGGGTGGCCGGAGATGACGTACTTCGCCGTGGTGAGGTACATGGGAAGTTCTTGCTGTATGCCTAAAAAAAGGTATGTAAACCTTAAAGAAAAAAAATACCTAACTATATATGGACAACAATAAAAAATATTTTGAACTAAACTTGAAAATACAGGTGGAACTTCACTTTAAGGACGAGGCAGTCAGCTTCTAGGCCCTCTCCATAACAATCAGTGAAGAAAAAAAAACTCTGCTTGGGATTGGCTTTTAGCAGAGTTTAGGAGAGTTTAGTAGAGTCTAGGAGCTGTCAGCGTTTTTTCTGCCAAAACGCTGCTGTTCTGGACTAAATGGCCCTGGGTTTTTTTTCCTGCTGGTAAACGCTACTGCTACTATAAGCTTCTAAATGTCTATGTATGCATGGACACATAGGATAACATGGAGGGCTATTTGGAAGCAGAAAAAAAAAATGCCAGACGCCCCTAGAAGTGGCTATAAAAACACCCTGTGTGCATAAGGTCTTCAGGCGTTTTTAGCTTGCATTTCAGATTAGTTCCTGTATTCCTTTACAAATGTTTCAGTGCAGGGCACCTCTGTGATGTCTTGATTTTTTGGGTTGAATTATGCTGAAGACAGAGGACATCTTGTAAGAGAAAACAATTTCTGTGGTGGACAGCACTGAAGAGGAGGGTTTGTATTGCAGAAGATGATGAAAGAAAGAGCGCACAAACCTTGCTCATTACCTCAATAAATAGTGACTCATTTTATTATTAAGGAAATATACTCACAAAGTGATGGTATAACAGGCATACGTAACCATAATCCACACAGGGTTACAGGTAAATCCAAAAGGGAGGGGGGGGAATGAAGGCTAACGCATTTCAAAGGGTGCTCCCTTCTTCATCAGAGCTGATCAAAAAAACAAATACATATACAAATACAATGTCCCCTCAAAATATTTACATGAATCATGATGGTATGACAGGTGGTGATACTGTAGATGAGCATAGCAATACACATGAAAATACTCATAAAAATGGCAATACGTATAGTAATAATAATATTAATGTCAAAAACCACACCCTTCAAAACGCATTAGCCTTCATTCCCCCCCCCCTTTTGGATTTATCTGTGACCCTGTGTGGATTATGGTTACTTATGCCTGTTATACCATCACTTTGTGAGTATATTTCCTTCATAATAAAATTAGTCACTATTTATTGAGGTAATGCGCAAGGTTTGTGCGCTCTTTCTTTCATCTTCTTCTACGGTTTTATCAAACTTCCCCAGCTTCATGATAGAGCTGCACAACCTCTGATCACCAGCGGATGAACACGCTGCTTGTTACTAACGCCTGCTGATCTGAGTCTTTGAGCGCAGGAGATAATGGATCTTTGGTGACTGTTTTGGGTTTGTATTGCAGCCAGAGCTGCTTTTTTTTTTTTAAACCTCCTGGGGAAC